GGCGATGCACAAATGTCAGATGTGGGAGTTTCTGCGTGCATACCCGGCAATGCACGCGGGCTGCAATGTGTTAAGAATAGGGGATAGATTGATGGAATCAGAGTGAGTAGAGGGTGATGTGCGCAGCTGCACCAATTAGACACGCTACTTGACGCGCACAATTAAATATACGGTATACTACCCTAACCTCCTGAGCTTATAATAATTGTGTATAGACAGGGTTAAACCGAACATCTGAAGAACGCACCGCCAGTTATCATCAAAACTCTGGCTCGACTCTTCACGCGCTACCTGTCGGAATGCAAGGTACCCACTCCGTGGAAAACCAGCAGGACCGTGTTGCTGTACAAGAAGGGAGACTTGGACGACATTGGCAACTATCGCCCAATCTGCCTGCTGTCTGTAATCTACAAGCTATTCACTCGAGTCATCCTTAACAGGATCGGCAGAATACTAGATGAAGGACAGCCATGCGAGCAAGCAGGGTTTCGAAGAGGGTTCAGCACGATCGACCATATCCACACGGTTACAAGACTCATTGAAGTTTCACGAGAGTACAAGATGCCGCTTTGTCTCACGTTCATCGACTTGAAGAAGGCCTTCGACTCTGTGGAGACAGAAGCGGTCATCGAAGCCTTGGGCAACCAGGGCGTCCCTACTCAGTACATCAAGATTCTTCGTGAGCTCTACAGCAACTTTACGACCAGGATCTCACCAACTCTTCAGCGACGCTCTCGAGAACGTCATGTGTCAGCTGGAATGAGAAGACATGGGAGTGTAGGTCGACGTTCCCAACTACACAACGCCGAACATCGAGCAAGCGGAGCGAATGCTGGCTGATTTCGACTGCGCCTGTGGTAAGGTTGGTCTGCAGCTGAACCTAACGAAGACGATGTTTATGAGAAACGGATTGGTTCCTGATGCCCCATTCACGCTCAACGGAACGAACATCACCGAATGCTCCAGCTACGTGTACCTAGGTCGGGAAATCAATATGATGAACGACCTAGCTCCAGAGCTGAGCAGGAGGAAACGAGCGGCATGGGGAGCGTTTAAGAACATCGAGGGAGTAGTGAAGAAGACGAAGAACATCCGGCTCCGTGCCCACCTCTTCGATTCCGCTGTCCTTCCTGCCCTAACCTACGCCTCAGAGACTTGGACTCTGCGCAGGCAGGACGAGCATGCGGTCAGCGTTATCCAACGCGCTGTCGAGAGAACTTTACATTTACACTCTTCAAAAATCCGAAAGTTTAGTGGTTAATGAGTTTGGCTCCGCTCGCTACCGCGCATGTCAAAGTACATAGGCGGTAACAAAAATGAGCACAGCCGGGCCCTTGTGTTGAACAGCACTCATGCTTTTGATGAATCTGAGAGATGTTATCAACGAAGGTGACTATACTGCTGGTGATAAAGCAATTATTTACGGGAGCTCGTCAACCCCACAAACGTCCATCATTTTTCGGAAACTAACATGGTCTAGCGGCCGAATAAGCTCAGATAACTAATACCTTTGTTCAAGCTGCACGATAGTTGTTTACGCTATCAGGACTTTGCATATACAAGAAATCATGCTTTGCATGTTGAGATGTTCTAGCGGTTGCAACTTTTTACGCCTATGGCACTGAAAGTGAAACACCATAATGAAAAGTTCTGAAAGGTTAGCAGTCTAGGAAATCTCGATGGTAACGACGAAATCGCAAACTAAATGGTATTTTTGTCGCCATCTAGATAACAACTTTAGCGGCTCTTCATTTTTAACCTGATCAATCTTATCAGCCCTTATCAGGTGTTATCGCTTTTTGTCCCCCACCAGTATGTTCCCGTCCCACCCCCTATATCATATCTTGAAATCAACTCCTGACGACCACTGGTGCCCGCGCTATGAATTTCGCGACACTTGCGTTCTAGCGCCTTTTATCAGCCCTTATCAGTTGTTATCACTTTCTGTACCCCACCAAATATGTTCCCGTCCCACCCCCTATATCATATCTTGAAACCAACTCCTGACGACCACTGGTGCCCGCGCTATGAATTTCCGGTCAAACACTCACACACACACCAACAGACACACTTAGCCGATATATTGTAATATTGTTTGGAGTTATTTGATGCCTTTTTATCCGAGGTTGAATTTTTAGATTAAAGCAACAGTTCAGGGAGGGTCCGAAAATTTCAATGCCACTACTACTGAGGGATACACGAGCCCTAGTGAAGAACATATGCAGTGGAAATAATAAACGAACTTACCTCAGAAACTCAAAAACAGGGTGGAAAGTCCCTCAAACATGGGTGTTCTTGGGGATTTCCCCAATCCCGCCCCCTTGCCGGCCGTCATTGGACGCGTCGGCAATCGTGCTCGTTTTGGGACCACAGGGAAAATTGATTGAAAAATGGAGCGCGTTTACAGCGGGCACGTTCAGACAACTCGTCCAACGTGCGTCTTTATCCATTGCTGAGCGGCAGAGGGAGAGTACCTGTCTAAGACCCTCCCCGACGTTTTTTTCCAGTTTTTCATACATTAATCGTCTGGTTTTCATCTACAACTTCATTATTGGTGGTTTTTTCCCGCGAAACCGTTCCTGAACTGTTGCTTTAATCAAAGTTTATCTTAGGCCTCCGTTTTTTGTTCTGCATAGAAACTGTGTAACACAGGCCTATGAACGCCATAAGTGAGCAGCCCTTCGAACAGAGAGAGGCGGAACAGGCTTGATAACATCGAGGACTTGGAGCACGGACCGCGGAGGAGCCCGTATGTAGTACACTGACAAGGGAACCTTTGATATATTTATGGACAATTATGCTTCTGTCGAGAAAACTTGGAAATAATTGCTGGAAGTTTAGAAAAATAACAGACCAGGACTAGAGCAAATCAATCGCATTCTCCTATCTCTGCGATAAAGTGGATCTGAGTAACAACTTTCCGTCTCAGCTGGTTTTCGCTCGTGTGCAGGTGAAATCTCGAGTAAAATGCTCCAAGATAGCATTTTGGAGAAAGCTACTGTCACCTTCACTTCGCACAGCAATTGGATTCACCAGCAAGGCGGTATAATGCTCATGGATTGCCAGAGCTCAGTTGTCCGATGTTGAGCTGCACGAAGATTGACCTCCGAATGTAGCGCAGTATTTACACGGTCACTACGGTCTACACTGAAGAACTGCGCGAAACAACACAATTTGAATGGATCGCTAAAGCTTCAAAATGTATGAGATGAAGTTCTGAAGGGTGTCATGTGCGCAAGGGCCAATTTCTGTAGGATAGGTTTGAAGAAAACTTCCAAGTTCTTTTGCAGTCATTCTGAGTAAGAAATATTAAACTTGTATGATAGGATACGGTCATATGCTGCTCTACTTGGTAACCTGTTATGAACTTTCTGGTTCGAACTGTGCCAGAATTACTTTGCCACCATATTTATGCCCCACCTTTGCTACAGTTAAAACCAGTGATCGAAGTGCACCCAATTATTTAAGACAAAGACCAGATGGCCAACAAATGGGGAAAATCGATGGATGGTGATTAGGTACTAAGACTGCGATGATCCTAACCTTCATCGGTATTATTGTAAAAGAAATGGTTATAGAAGTGTACTACGAGGGACCTGCACCTCTGATATATTGTAAGCCCCCTAGGCAATACGGCTGCCATCCTTTAATCTCAACGTAGTGCAATTTGAAAGTTTTACAAAAAATTTCCTTCAGAGATGCCAAACGTGGGGCCATGAAAATTTATTTATAGTAAAAAGGCTACTCTAATGAAGTTCCTCTATTTAAATTGCTCTTTTTTCTATACTCTGTTTAATCTTGCCAACGTAAGTGCTCAGAAAATGCAAAATTGGCAGCAATCCATGAAAAATCAATGCAACCCCTTCACGCATATGAATCCATAAAGTCACATCCGAAAATCAAAGTCTCGGTTAACATCACACCACCCGTGACTTTTGGGTCTCACACGACCATCGAGGCAAAAAGTGTCGAGAGCAACACCTCATAGTTGTCATTCGGTTTCGATGAAGTAAATGAGAATTTGAACCTTGAACCAGGCTTGATTCATCAAGGAAAACGAGTTGGACGAACCGCCCATCCATTAAAGCGAGACGCGGTTAGATGCCAAGAAATGATCCTTCTGAAAGGAGAAAGGGGGATCCTTAACGATGTCGCGGACGAGTTCTCTTTCGTTTTCCTCCTCCTTGCAGCGTTTTGTCTCTTCATCACACTATATCCTACCTTGCGAGAGAAATTTCTGCGTTTTCCGTGTTGCTTTTTTCCCCATTCGCACTCCTCCATTTCTTGTCTAATTTTCGAACAAGGTTATACACCAATTCGATCCTGACTCGCGCATTTAAACGCGGATTTTATGATGGGACGTAGTTTACTGTAAATAAGGGTCAGGTGGTCAGTGGAGCAGGGATGAAGAAGAAATCATCAGAAGCGGCCCGGAACCTTTAATGAGACCACTACATTGCCTGGTTACCGCATTGATGCGACACTCATCGCTGTGTCCCCCCTTACGCCAGCCCTCTCTCTGTTACCTGATCCCTAGCCGCGTATGGACCAGGGTGAATATCGCTTGAGGATTCCTCAATGGCACGTCGAGGATTCTCTGCCCGCTCATACCGGTCATATACGATCTCTCGCGCGGACATTCACACTCGCCATG